TTTTGCTGGGAACGTTTCAACTTCTATAACATTCGTTTGAGCACGCTGGTAAAGGAGGCACCAGCTAAGTTTTGGAGGACCATCACACCGAAGTCCTCAAATACTAATACATTTAACATAGGCAATGACTTCACATCCGATGCTGCTAAGATTTCTGATGCGTTCAACACCCACTTTGAATCCGTTTTTTCCAAAGATAATGGTAGCATACCCTTATTTGACAAATTCCAGACATTACCTCCGATTGAAGATTTGGAAATAACAGAAAGTGGAATATTTAACCTCTTGCTTAATTTAGATGTGAAAAAGTCATATGGACCCGATAATATACCTAATGCATTCCTTAAACGATACGCTGAGTGGTCATCTAAATTTTTGTTAATTATTTACCGTACATCCCTTTCGATGGGTACTTTGCCTGATGACTGGAGAATTTCCAAGATAAAACCACTGTTTAAAAATGGCGATAAGCAGCTTATTTCTAACTATCGACCTATAGCTTTAACATGCACGTGTTGTAAAATTCTCGAGCATCTTATTCATAAGCATATTACGCTTTTCTTGAAAAATTACTCAATATTAACACCAATGCAACATGGGTTCCGTCACGGCTTTTCTACTGTAACTCAAGTGGTTGAAATGACACATGACTTCGCCGCAGCTATTAATGAGAGAAAACAGATAGACGTAATTTTTTTAGATTTTGCTAAAGCATTTGACAAGATTTCCCATTCTAAATTGCTCATTAAACTGAACACATTATTAAAAAACAGGAAACTGTGTAGCTGGATTAAATCGTATCTAACATCCCGGCAGCAATACGTTGTTTTTAAAGACACTCCATCAAACATGTTACCTGTTGGCTCAGGGGTTCCCCAGGGCTCCGTGCTTGGCCCGTTGTTGTTTTTGGTGTTCATAAATGATATTGTTGATAATTGCAGGGTTAAAATACGATTATATGCAGATGATTGTGCGTTGTATTCACTTATTCACACAGTTGAAGACCAAGTTAAGCTTAACACAGAAATTGAGAAACTCATGAAGTGGTGTAATTCTTGGCAAATGTGTGTAAACTATCAAAAAAGTGTGGCCATGTCGATAACAAATAAGAAGTGTCCCCTTGTTTACAATTATACAGCTGATGGAAACATCCTAAATCGAGTAACAGAGTACAAGTATCTAGGCTTGCATATATGTAGCAACCTCCACTGGGATCGACATATCGACTACATATCTAATAATGCAATGATGAAATTACATTTTTTGAGACGTTCTCTTCGCTATTCATCATACGACACTAAAATTCTGGCGTACAAATCTCTTATCCAACCCATTTTGGATTATGGAAACATTATCTGGGATCCTTACACCAATGTCAATATCCATAAACTAGATAGAATCCAAAACAAGGCTGTCCGATTTATTTTCAAGAAATACGGCCCAACATCAGTCTCTGAATTAGTTGCCGAAGTGGGATTCAAACGGACTTCAGAAAGAAATAGAATTTCTCGTTTGTTGTTCTTCTTTAAGATAGTTAATGGTCGAATAAATAGTAACACAGGTGAATACTTAAAGTTCTCTTCCGGTTACTCTACCAGACAACGTCATAAACACACTGTCGTTCCTTTCCAGCCCAATAATAATACTTTCAAGTATTCCTTTTTTCCGCGCACTGCCAAAGAATGGAATGAGCTTGACAGCAAAATTATTGAAACAGACAGTATCGAGGCATTTGAAAAATTTATATCTGACTAGTGTTTTTTTTTTCTTCGTGAAACATTTTTTATGTTGTTTGAAGTGCTTTGTTCTGTGTTGACTGCAGTATTGTACTGTTGATTTTGTTGTACTATGTACACCCACTCTGCTATGGCCCCAAGTTGGGGCTAGCAGTATTGCTAAATAATAAAAATAAAATAATAATGTTACCAGTTCCACTTGCAGATGAGAGTTTCATTTTTCTAATTACGTTACTTATTCCATTTGCAGATATTTCAATAGGTGACATTGGCTCGCTTATAATAGACTCAAGGGTCTCTCCGCAGTTCGTAAAAAAGCTATGTTCATGAGTGAAAACAGAACAAAAGGCATGGTTTAAGGCATTCGCCGAATCTACATCACTGAGCGGTTTGTCATTAGTACCGGATAAGGTTATCGGCAAGATGTTTCTTGAGTTTATTGTTTGCCAGAATTTTTTAGGGTTATTTTTGAGCATGTCTGGTAGTGTTGTTCGAAAAAAATCGCGTTTCGCGTTTTGAATGTTAATCGAGAGGCATCGTACGGAGTCGGAATATTCTTTCCATAGGGACGGTTGGTTCTGTTTTTTGGCACGTCTGAACAGGCGTTTTTTCCGGTTTATCAGTTTTTTAATCGCGTTGTTAAACCAAGGGGCGGATGTTTTGTTTTTAATTTTTATTCTTGGAATATATGCATCAGTTAGTTGGTTGAGTTTTCCGACTAGCAACTTCCAATTATTTTCTACGGAGCGCTTGTTGAATCCCTGCTCGTACGAAATGTAAAATTGTTCAAGTTCGCTGTTAATCTTTTCATAATTGCCACGACCGTAGAGTTTTATCTGCTTTGGTGTAGGCTTATTTTCTGGAAAAGTAAAACTGAAAGAGGCAAGAATAATTTTGTGATCACTTATTTCTTTAAGGTAATGGAGAGAATGCAGGCTACTTGGATCCGACATTAGAATAAGGTCTAATATATTAGAGCTGTGTAATGTTTCTCTGGTGGCATGAGTTATTACTTGTGTTAGTTGGAAGTTATCTAAACATGCTAGGAATTCGCCGCATTCACCGCTGCGAAGGGAAACGTTGTTTGACCACTGTATGGACGGATAATTGAAGTCCCCGCAAATTATGAACTTTGCACGGGGATACATTTTGTGTAGTTTGTCGAGGGTGTCGTTAAAGTTGATGTTAAAGTTGGGCTCTGTTTTGGGGGGGCGGTAACAGACACCTAGTATGATCAGCCCATGGGAACTTTCGCAAGCTACCCAAAGGGCTTCCAGTGGACTGGTAATGCTAATAACGAAGTGACGGATTGTATGTTTAACAGCGATAAGCACGCCACCACCTCGACCAGATAAACGGTCCTGGCGATGCAATGCGAAATTGGTTAGATATGAAAGAACTTCAGAATCTTTGATGGAAGGTGAAAGCCATGTTTCTGTCAACATCACGACGTCACAATCAGATGATTCAATTATGGTACATATTTCGTCCCGTTTCGGCATGATACTTCTTATGTTTGTGTAGAGAATAGAAAAGCTGACGTCGTTTGCATGTTTGGCAGGGTGATTCTGGGTATGGCGAGAGGGTGAGGCAACTGGCGATACATTTACTGGGATGTGAAATTGCTAGCTGCCGCGTGGAAAAATTTCTTTGACTTCTTTTCGGGTTGCATCATAGTGGTACGATTTTTTCCCGATAACTACCTTCTTGTAACGAAGCTTGAAAGGGCCGCCGTGCTCACGTGCGAAGCGCAGAAGCTCTCTCTGGGCAGTGCGGGTAGCGAAACAATAATCCTGACCTACACTGTACGGCGTATCTTTTAGTTTGAAGCCGTTAGATAAGATTGCTTCTTTTATTTTGAACTGGGAGAAATTAACAATTACTGGGCGCGGTTTTTCTGGTTGACGTTTTCCGATTCTGTACGCTCTTTCGATATCGTTCGGCACAAGGTTAATTTTGATGTGCTTCTTGCAAATGTCAGCAACAAACCCTTCACTGTCTGCCCAAGTTTCTTCTTCTTTTTCGGGGATTCCATAAAAAAGAAGATTGCACCGACGCGACCTATCTTCGGCATCGTTCAGCCTGCCTTCCATATTGGAGAGCAGGATTGTTGTGTCGGTTGATTCAGGATCAAACCAACCAAAAGCGTCGAGCTCACGGCGTTCAACTGCCGCACCCACTGTTTTTCAAGCGGTATCTGCTGCATATGTATGTTATATACCATAAAATCTGAAAAAAAAAAAAAAGTCGCTCTCCTGCTTTCCACTACCTGAGTAATTGATAAAAAGTTATTTATGCAATAGCAGCGTGCCGCCCTCGCGAAATGCAGTCACTCTGCCATGTTTGCGATAAAACCCAAGATTTCCCTATGTATTGGCCGTGAAGTCCGTAAGTCCGCTAGTCGTGCTTCCGGTACTGCCTTCCTGCGCACAGCCTCGCCGCCTCGCCATCGCCCCCTCGCACTTTGTTGATTGTACGATCGGCGTGATGGGGTGACGGTCCGCATTTGCTCTAGACGCTGCGCTGTGCTCCCTACCAAGCTGCAGATATTAGGTGTCGCCTTCTTCTAATCATCCCCAGCATTTCGTTGTGCGCGTTTGCGACGATGTGACGTCGGCAGAGCTACACAGGTGACTTCAAGTGCCAAGTGATACTTTTTACCGAGGACTCGAGCAAATGTGCCCTGCAGTGTGAGTTCTATGAAAATGAGACGTTGATTAGGGGTTGGCGAAAGCAGCAGAACCGTCTGTTTGCGTGCAAATGTCGGCATCGTGCCTTTCGCGGTTCAGCAATCAGCAGCGGTGGTAGCAAAGATGATGCTGTTTGGGAAGTCGCAGATTCTTGCGAAGAGTCCGATGATGACATTATTTTGCACATCTGACAAGATGACGGCCTCAGCAGCGATTAGGACGCTGACTTATGTAAATAAAGGTGTGCGCAATTCAATTTTTCTGTTTCTAACTTAAGAAAAAAAGAAAACATTGGTTAACCTATATTCAAACTTTTTTTCTTTTCGTAGAACACTATAGATAGGGGTCGACCTATATTCATGCCCTACCTATTTTCGAGTAAATATGGTAGTTGAATGCTTGCACCTCCATTTGTTTTTTTTTTGTGTCCCAAAGCGACAACAAGAATAAAAAGCTGTGTTGTGCTCCATGTTCTCTTCCACTTCATGCTGCTTTTACTTACGACTAAGCACCAAATAACTCACAAACAGTCCTTCTTAGAGAAAAAAAATGGCATTAGTAGATGTGAAGTCACCTTTGCGGATATCCACGTCATTGGGGATGAAAAGGACATCGCCTTGGGCTTCCACCAAAGGATGGCGTAAGGCCGTCATCTGTATCACACCCGAGCCTGGACAAGAACACACCACATAGAATGACACGATCACACTTGCAATGTCAAAGCATAGCAAGATTAAAAGTTGCAGCAATGTAAAGGAGGTGAGCGTGGAGCCTGAAGTGATTGTTACGCTTAAAAAAACCACAGACAGACAGCCAAGAGCAGCAGTGCATGATAGCAGACTAGCTTGTAAATTCACTGTTTATTAAAAGGAAGCAAGATTGTTTGCTTTATCTAGCACATTCAAGCACACCAGACACCAATCTACTGTCATGATACTTATTTTCTGAAAGCTCGAATGCTTCAATTAATAAAGTTCCCTAGTGTGGGTCGAATCGAATAGTACTAAACACCATTACAAAATTATTCAAAAGTTCAGATGTTCGAACAATCCTAGTTTCAACATAAGATCACAGGAAACCAAGGAGACATGAACTAAGTGTGGCATCTTCGTGCACTGTGTATTGTGTTTTTAGTTGTTTTTTTCAACGTTGAAAGCACAAACATTCAAAGAATATAGCAAGACCTGGCACGACGTGAATTCCAGTCGCCACTATGCACTGGTCCACCCTGTCAGCATCACAGTAAAGCCACACGATTTCATAGATATGAGACACTATGAGTAAAAGACTACAATTTACTTGAAAATCAGAAGTAGGAGCTAGTTGGCTGTACACTGTTGACTTTCGCACGCACGCGCGAAATTCACACACACACACACACACACACACATGCACGCACACACACACACACACACACACGCACACACACACACACAAATAAACAAACAAAGCACTTGTCTTGGCCACTTGGGCTTCTCCTCATATCATATCTTTAGTGTGTCTGAGTCGTACGCTGCAACCTCAAATTCATCATGACCGTCCAGTATCCTTTAAGCGCATGCAGGTGCACAGGCATCCCTGCATATCGTCCCTAACGAAACATCACTGCCACAACCACAAATTGAGCTCACGTCATCATGCCTCACGGAGGGTTCAGTCAGCAGCCACCGTAAAAAGAAGACACATGTTCCCCTTTAATGAATGACCATATTGATGGTCAATCCAAAGAAGCGCTCTTTTATGAATACTAATGAGTGTCTTGGCTGCTCACCTTTGGGCCGCATGGACGGCCGTACGAAGGGCTTGCCAGTGGCCGACACAGCCGCCACCGCAAAACCGACCAAGACGTCGAGGTGAGATATGATCTCTGACAGCTGCTGCAGGGGCTCCCAGTAGCCAGCTGGGAAGGAAAGAAAGTAGCAATTAAAAAAAGAGGCTTCAGAAAAAGAGTGGCCTCTCGTTACATGAAACCTGAAGGTACCAAGAAATTATGTTATATTTAACAGGAGTTCCATTTACTGACAGGTGAACAGGTGTGCATATTATAAGTATGAAACCACTCATATCAGAGACAGCTGTTTCATTTAGACAGCACTTCCATGTAACCAATTTATACAGCATCTACCGTATTTGTATTACCCTCAAATCATACAGTATTGAATAGTATTGCAAGACAAGAAAAAGCTTGCATTCAACAAAATAGGAAAAGAGGACAAAAACATTGAAATTCCACTTGCAAGACGTGACTCTTCTGATAACAGAGTGTACTTCACACATTTTTAAACAGTTGGCTGCATTTTTGCAGAAATGTGAGTGCGCTAGGAGATATGCATCGACAGCTGTGACGTCGAGTGTCCTCGTAATAAAGCAGGGTGCCAGTTTTCCAGTCCTGCCATACTGCCCCTCTATTCAACCTTGCCCACCGTACCGTTTCAGGGCACCGTAGTGGGAGCAGATGTGGCCGGCAGCCTGCATGATTGGCACCCTCATGTCACCAGAAATTAAACACCTTCACAATGCACCTGTTGGACACGAGAGTTTATGAAAAAACCACGCACATGCGAATAGTAATCTGGCTAAATAATTTCAAACTGAATTCAAGTAGTATACAGCACATATTATAAATAAAGATGAGCATGTTTGCCTTGACCCCAACAAACCTGCAAAATATTTTTTGAAACATAAACAAAAAAGTGCAAATGTAAGCCTTTTGGTTCAAAGGAAGTGATAGCAGCTTTGAAATGTAGCAGGATTTGACTTTCCAATAAAATGCAAGTGATAACCAGTAAAATATGTTATGTTTTAAATTTACTATGCTTAGAGCCCGTAAGCTAGTACTATAACAAGCTTCTATGCCTAAATAATGATGAATCATTTTGAGGGTAATATGTGCATTTAACCTGGAAGTGGGGTTTCGTGGCGGTGCATATTTCCCCTCAGTAGGATTATTCAAGGTACAGCACACCTCCGCTGAAGTGAAACCACTTTTACAGAAGGTTGCATACGTCTACTTGTTCATTTCAAATACTTTGCAATTTAAAATTATTTCAATTTCTTTCAAAACGAATTCGTATACGGACTGTCATATTCGTTCAAAGTGCTCAGATACTCACACGTGCCCATATAAAAGCACTAAGGTATTGAATCTCCAATACTTTCTGCCAGAAATAAAGGTTGCGTCTACTAATTACAGCGCCCAATCTTTCAATTGCACGAACCTTTTTTCTGTATACTTTTAATGATATGCAAAAATTCAGGTGTCGTGTGTGTAACCTGCCTACTTGCTATCTTTCACAAGGAATGGAACAACAAGAGCAAAGGTTCTGTGGTGAAGATGACAACATCGTGTATTCTACACGTATCTCGAAGGAGTACGGCCACTAGCATGGGTCTGGTTTTGGCGAGTCGCGAGGCACGCGTTAATCATCGCCGTGGCGAGAACACAGTACTGCTCAAGGTCGCAACAGTTTATTGTCTGCGACAACACCAAAACGCAGTACAGAGCCCATTGCAAAAGGCGCGGCGAGAAAGCAAATGAACTTATCCACGCCCAGGCGAGAAGTACTACACAGGGGTGCCGTGAGCACGTCTCCGTGCGCTAAAGTGATTCGCGGTGACACTGGGACAAAGGGCCCGGTTGCTCGAGCGAAGGAAAAGGCGCTCGCATTGGCTTCAGAGAGATATGGGTCAGCGCAATTTGACCATGCACGAGATCACCACATCGCTCTTCGGTTTAACATTAGTAAAGGGGCAATAAAAAGTGAGTGTTCGCTGCGCGTGCGAGGCACCGTTGGCAAAGTCCGACGAGCCCCAAACAATACGAATCGACGGATGGAAAAGAAATGCATGCTCAACCTTAGTCGTTCCGGAAAAATCTCACTCACTATTGACACGAGCGCGCGAGATGTCCCGAGAGACTTTGTGCACGGCGCCACAGTCAAAAGCCGCTACTGGATAAGAGGTGTTAAACGTCGATCCCCGCTCTCCCAGCGCGGCAGACCGCGGAGTAGGGGAGTGATGTCAGGACATGAGAACGCAGAAAGAGGTGGCAAAGCCTGTGCAAAGGCGGCGGGCTAGCCTCGATTCCCATTAGCAAAATAAAAAGAAGAAAAAAAAGGCAACAAAATATACACCATGTCTGAGCTAGCTTTAGCCCAAGCTTTAAATATAGGCTGGAGTGCAATAGCCCAATGCATGTTGCTGGACATAACATGGTGCATATCCTGAACTGTCTGGTATTCAGCACAATTACCGTATTTAGCCATATAATTTGCACCCTCACATAACTTGTGCACCCTTAATAATTAAGTAGAGTTACTAAAAAAATATTTACTCGCAGGCTTTGCATTCCTGAACTCACTCGAGCCAGCTCGCCGGCACATGCACGATGAGATGAAATGTTTTGGCAGGGTGCAACAGACCCGCACCTTGCCGAGCAGGCAAGCACAGTTATACATAAAACAGGCTGCAATTGCAAAGTCCCTTCTTCAGAGGAACTACGGTCCTGGAATACCATACCCCATTCTGCTGACTGGTTGCTGGCAATGCTCAAGCGCTTGCCTCCATCTATTTTCCCTTCTCTTCCACCGTGAATACCATGAGAATGGACGCTTGCATCACGACACTGACAATTTTCAGCATCCTAGGGGTGTCAGGGCCGGCCACGCCGACTTTTCACCTTGTTCGTTGCGTTACGCTGCAGTGCACTCTTGGTTGATTTCATAAATTCAGGTTTCGCCATCTATCCGTTGCGTGTTTACTGTTCTCTTGAAATGGCCTACAATTATATATACGGCGAAATTCAATCTCACTGTTGTAAAGTTTGTGGACGAAAACAGGAACCGTGCCACCACCAAGCACAAGCACTTTAGCAGGAAGTTCTTCAACGTGTGACGACTGGTACAGGAGAAAGCAGAAGAGTGTGCGCTTGCTAATAGAGTAGAATCTCGATAATTCGAACTCGAAGGGGCCCGAAAATTTGTTCAAATTAAAGGAAGTTCAAATTAATGAAAGCTAAATGAACGGAGGGCTCACCATGCAGTGACGCATTTACACTAACGCACGAGGGGGAAGTTTCAGAAGACTTACTGTAAGTACTCGAATCTAACGCGCACTTTTTTTCCGATTAAGCGAGTTCATAAATTGCATGCGCGTCGGAATCGAGTACGAAAAAAAAACAACTGAATACGGTCATTCTATTGCCATCGGCATATCCAAAATGGCTGCCCCCTACGTGCGTCGGCATGGCGCGTCGGCCATTTCTGCCTATACGTTTCCCATGTGCGACACTTGCATTATTGTCAACGGTATGAAAGGACCGACTCCAAAAACTCGAGTGCACCTCGATGCCGCTTTTAAAAGAAAAGCCATCGCGTGTGTAAAAACGGATGGAAATGGGCCGCATCGCGGTCATTTGGAGTTCTCGAAACGTGCGTGCGGGACTGGCGGAAACAAAAGCAGAAGATTGTCGACAGCAAAGCTTCACGCAAAGGCTTCAGTGGACCACAGCAGGGTCGGTTTTCGCAAATTGAAGAGCTGCTCAGCGAGTATGTGCTTGAGCAGCGAGCGGCACAGCAACCCGTGACGACAGTACTGCTCCAAGTGCGGGCTATGCAGTTAGCCTTAGAATAGGAGAAGAGCTAATGCGGAGCCAGTTTAAAGCGAGCAGGTGCTGGCTAAGTAACTTTATGAAGAGGAAAAGCTTTTTCCTCCGAAGGCGAACGGGCATATGCGAAAAGTTTCGAGAGGAGTACGATGAAAAGCTTCACAGTTTTCAGAGGTTCATCCTAAACTTGCGGCACAACAACGGCTATCTGCTTGGGCAAATCGGGAATGCCGATCAGACGCCTCTTTACTTGGACATGCCTAGCACCACAACCGTCGAGAAGAAGGGGGCGAAGCAAGTTCACGTGCTGACATCGGTCCACGGTAAAACTGCAGTGACGGCAATGCTCTGTTACACGTCAGATGGGCACAAGCTTCCCCCGTACCTCATATTTAAGTGGAAGACGCTCCCGAAAGAAGTCGTTTTTTTCGAGTGGTGTGATCGTGCGGGCCAACAAGAAAAATGGGTGCGCGTTGCAATCGATGTCTTACTTTTTTTTTTTCGTCGTCGAAACCGGGTGCGCGCTACAATCGAGGGCGCGGTAGAATCGAGTAACTACGGTACATTTATTCACAAATCACAGGAAATCCGTCATTAATTGAAGTAATCGGTGATGTCCGTCTGCACACGTTTGCCTTGCAGCGAGTCAATCGATTTCGCACGCAGCTTGCAAAGATTTCTACTTCGACTTCAGCATTCTCCTCGCAAGAGAAGTTGCGCGCGGCAATGTCCAAAGCTGACACACTCTCAAGACGACAACAACGACTGCGTCAGCGTCTCTCCTGTACTACCCTCTGCTTTGGAGCCGCAGCCTAGCCACCATGTGACGAGAAAGAAGAAGCGTCTTCATGCGGAGAGAAGCAGATAGACATCTGAGAAAAAACCAACGCTCCACGACACCTTTTTTTTTCTTTCTCCCTTTGCGCACATCATTGAAAGGAGAAGAATCTACGTGGCAGGGACAGGAAAGAGAGAAGTGTGGCACCGGCACGTGAGAGAGAGCTAACACTCCGCGACATCTTTTTTTCCTTTTTTCTCTCTCTTCGCGCGCGGCGTAGAAAGGAGAAGGGTCTCCACGTGGCAGGGACGAAAAAGGGAGAAGCGTGACAAAGGCGCGTTGCAGATTGACATTTGAAAGAGAGCAAGCATTCCACTGCAGCCTTTTCTTTCTTTCTTTTGTCTTCCTTCGCGTGCAACATTGAGGTGTCGGAGATGCCGCCGCGGGATTGGGTGTGGTGCTGAGAGCATTTTCGGAGTGCGGTACGTTCGAATTAACCGTTGCAAGTTTTTGCGCGTACGAATTACAGAGCATTTTCGGCCATTGGGATACACATAGCTTTCACGGGACCTCAGCATGAGTTCGAATTAACCGGAAGTTCAAGTTGAGCGTGTTCGAATTAATGAGATTTGATTGTACAAATTCCCTGCTAACAGAAATCTTTTCAATTATGTGCGAAAGCTCAGGTCCTCCGATATCGCCGTGTCGTGGGACCTGCTTTCTCCCAGCATCGTCGAGAGGAGCTTAAAAAAAAAATGGGAAATTCGAAAGTGCTCGACGGAACCGAGGATAACGCCCATAGACATACTTTGGGAGGGCAGTGACAGTGGTGATAGCAGCCTCGATGACGATGATTCCCAGTCGGACTTCTGGCCAGTGATTCTGATTATGTCAGCAAATTTCCGAATCTGGTTGGTAAAATCACGTGTCAATTCTGTTAAATAAAGAAACACTCTTTAATTGTGCTCAAATTAATTTTCTCTTTTATTTAATGTATATACCGCAAACGTTAGGACTATTGCACCTAATCTCAAATCCCTGCATAATTTGCACACCCCCTTTTAGGAGTTCCAAAATCATGAAAATAGGTGCACAAGTTATGCGAGTATATATGGTGGTCGCGATCAATTAATCCCTTTCACAGTATATATATCTTGGACTGAACATTGGAGAGAGTTGTAGAGTAAGATACTGGGTGTCAGAGAATTGACGGGTACTGTGAAAGACATTTGGCTAGCTCAATATGACCCTACACCTTATTTCTCAGAATTTATTGCTCAAAAGAAAAAAAAAAACCTGCTCCGCATTATGGATTCAACGAAGTCAACACACAACACCTCTACACTTCAGTAGTCTGTGCGCAGCGAGAGAACCTCATGGTATCTGCAATACTGTTGGGCGATTTTCAGACGCATGGTGGCTGCACTGACCACTTGAGGTTCATGCTCGTGGCTGCAGTCTGTATATAACATGTAAGCGAGAACCGATTCAGCAGCTCAGTAAGCTGAAAGCACCTTGTCTGTCATGCAATGTCACCTCTTTCTGCACCTGTATATTGATGTCGAACGCTTAGTGCTGTGTTATAACAGACGTGTGGGAAGCGTACAGACGTTACTTGTGGCTCGCAGCATGCCAGTGTCTGCATAGTGCAGTTCTAAGCACACTCGCTTGCAGCTGAGCTGTACCAGTTTCCTAATCATAACATGTGACGAGCTGTTGGAATACACACATGGAGCACTACCCTATTCCAACTGCAAGCAATAATACCATTCATATTTTCCTACCCTCAAGATTTATGTCCATGTTACCCGCTTTCATTTTCATTTACTACTACTCTTCAATCGAAAAAAATAAATGATGTGTCCTATTTCCTTGGCTTCGTTATTTGTTGCCTTCATGCAGTTCACTACAAAAACGATCCGTTCAATCGATTCCTCCAAGAAAAGAGCCAGATCCGGGACCTTGGCTGTGCAATGAACAAGAAGAACCATGAAGGAAGAGGCAATGCTAGGCTGCTGAAGAAATAGCAAAGTAGAGCAGGAAATGCATAAAGCAGCAGCATTTTCTCACCAGCAATCTCAACGATCATCTTGGTGATTCCTTCCTGGGCCTGATCGTACGCCTTCCGTGATGCCAGAAAGCGTTCGTTGGCTTCAGTCAGTGGTCCGTTGCGGAAGCGCACGCCGTTCTGCTTGGTGTCGATAGTTGTGTAGCCCTTCCGCGAACGCAATGCTGGTTCCTCCTGCGATCAGCGGCAAAAGCACATGCAGTGAGAGCGTGATCTATTCAACGATAAAACACAGAACTGAGTGAGTGAGGTTGCTTGAGAAAGAAAATCTAGAACGAATGAAGTAGCAACTTGGTTAGTATTTCTCGCAAAAGAGGGTCTAATTCATTCTCCGGGGTCTGTGTTTACACTTCTTTCCGCTTTCACAAGAAAATTTTAGTGCCCTAAAATAGTAGCAGCGTAGTTGAAAATCAGCTATGATGATTTTTCAAGGTTAGTAAATCTCAATAAAACTTGCTGGGTACGTTCCCTAACATGTTCTCATTATTTGCGCCAGATTTCAGGCTGGACAGATACACAGATTCCTTACAAATGAATTTTATAGATTGCACCGACTAGAGTTGCCTGACACTGCCGAGCTAACAAGCATGTAATCATCACGAAAAAATCCCCAAAAAGCGAACATTTAATTAATTTTTTTCATTCTTAAAGGCATTCTTAAATATAATAATAATGCCACTGAAATATGAAGGAGTGTTGAACAAGTCTCTTTACCTATTTCGCACAGCGAAATTATGCGAAACCATAAAAGTCAGCACATATTTAATCTTTAACATTGTCTCTAGGGTGGTCTCCCTTTGGTTGAATGCACACTTGCCATAGCATGATTAACGTTGATTCACAATTCCCCCAAAGTATGATCGACTACAACACTCAACTACTTGAGTAAAAAAAAACGCTTTGTTGGCAAATGTGATGATCAATAAAGCAAATATATTTGCCAAAAAAATGCAAATAAGCCCAGAAGCATGACAAGCGACCAGAAAATTTTACAGGCGACACATCGAGAAAAGAAGCACGAATCTGCCCATTTTAAGCGGAACTGGCCACTTTTGCCCCGACTCTCGCAACAGGTTTCCCATTATTATTGGCTACGTTGTGTCCACGACATCATTTACGTCAAAGCACTGTAATCGCAAGTGAAAGGCTTGAAGTGCGACTGCATCTTCTGCTGTGTACGACGCAACAATCACAGTTGTTTAGCCGATGCTTCGTCGGTTGGGAGAGCTAATTTCACTTCATTGTGGCCCTGAGGTGGTGGGCAGCGAGAGGTGCTATGTAGCTGTTTCTGACTGCATCAATGCTAAGATCATAGCTTCCGTTACCGTTGGCGCGAGAGTGTAACCGAGCGGTATTCAATATTTATCGATATGCCAACGCCTTCGCTGCTGCCGCTAACCAACGCTTTACCGCGCCACAAAGTTTGCATCGGCGTGCTGAGACAATCAACGCTGTTGTGGTCGAAGCTGTTGAATTTGCTTATTTTAAAAGCTTCAATAATATCGAGGATGACTGGAACTTGACAGTGCACAAGAAGCAAGACAAGCTTATGGTAGGCTTGTGGCAATAGTGCGTTTTAGGCTTGAAGCTACTAGTGACTTTGGTCGACTAATTTTGAATCGAATTCGAATAGAACAGCCGAATCTCGATAATTCGAACTCGAAGGGGCCCGAAAGTTTGTTTGAATTAAAAGAAGTCCGAAATAATGAAAGCTAAGTAAACGAAGGGCTCCCATGCAGTGGCACATGTGCATTGGGCTAACACGCGAGGGGAAAATTTCAGAAGACTTACATTTATTCACAAATCACAGGACATCTGTCATTAATTGAAGTAATTGGTGATGCACATCTGCACACGTTTGCCTTGCAGCGAGTCAATCAATTTTGCACACAGCTTGCAAAGCATTTCTACTTCGACTTCAGCATTCTCCTGGCAAGAGAAGTTGCACGCGGCGATGTCCAACACTGACACACTCTCAAGACGACGACAACGACTGTGTCAGCGTCTCTCTGCTACTACCCTCTGCGCCGGAGCCGCAGCGTAGCCATCATGTGACGAGAAAGGAGGAGCGTCTCCACGCGGAAAGAAGCAGATCGACATTTGAGAGAAAACCAACACTCCAGGGCACCTTTTATTTTTTTCGCTCTCTTCGCGCCCGTTTTTGAAAGGAGAAGGGTTACGTGGCAAGAACGGGAAAGGGGGAAGCGTAGCACTGGCGAATGGGAGAGAACCAGACTTCAGGACAGATTTTTTTCTCTCTCTCTCTTTGCGCATGGCGTTGGAAGAAGAAGAGTCTTTACGTGGCAGGGGCGGAAAAGGGAGAATCGTGCACAAGCGCGTCGCAAATCGGCATTTGAGAGCGAGCAAACATTCCACCGTAGCCTTTTCCTTTTCTTTTCTTTTCCTTTCCTTCCCGCTCAGCGCTGAGGTGTCGGAGATGCCGCCACGGGATTGGGCGGGGTGCTGAGAGCATTTTCGGAGGGCGGTATGTTCGAATTAACCGTCAAAACTGCTTGTGCGTTCGAATTACAGGGCGTTTTCACCCATTAAAATACACATAGCTTTGATGTCACCTCATCGTGAGTTTGAATTGACCGGAAGTTTGAATTAACTATGTTCGAATTAATGAGATTCGACTGTATATATGACACATAAAGAAAAGTGAGAATATTTATCATGACCTATCGAACGTGCACAATATAGTTTTTTAATTGAAAAATGACCTCTACGCAAATGCCTTTCTTTTTCATTCAAAGGAAGTCTAAACAACTTTGAGTATTAGCAGAATTTGACTTACAGTAGAATGCAAGTGATAACCTTTCAAATACGTAACATATTAAAATTTATTATACTTTAGTATATAAGTGCGCATAACAAGCTTTGAAGCTTTAAAAAATGGTAAATTGATGTGAGCATAATTTGTTTACTTAAATTGACCTTCCATCGTTTTTTCAAGTAGCCATAGAATTAATTCATTGAAAAAGCTTATTGCCTCACGAATTCACTGATGCAAAAATGTTTAGAATCCATCAAGTAGGAGTGGAGTCGCAAAGATTTGTCACATGCTGCCATTGCATTCTCTCTTCAAGTCCCAACGAAAGCGCTGGAAGCTAAGCAGGGAGGAATGGCACGGAAGAGGAAAATATGTCACGCAAGCCCCGTGACCTTGAGCACTTTCTCTCTCTCTCTCTCTCTCTCTTTGTTTTGCTTCGAATACGTGGCTTGTTAGTGCAATCATGCACATACACGTGGACAAGTCATGGCCTCCCGCGGTGGCCCCAGTAACGACCAAGCGTCCATTCTTAATTCAGCCAATGGCTGATACAATGGCTGTGACGAGTGATTTGTGAGCTTGTGACGTCATTTACAGAGAGAAAATAGCAATTTTTAGCTGACTTTGGATATTTATTGTGAATTGCAGGCCACGTGCTGCGCTATAATATTAGGCTCGCGTGTTCTCGGTAGCCTCGACTACCGATAGGCAGCATTTTCTGACCATGCTCAAAAAGTCTTGCACAGCCCCTTTAAAGTTAATAGGGCTTCGTGCAGAGCGGATTTTCCTTGGAGAGGTGCTTTCACAGCTTAAAACTTCCACGCTGCAGTGAAACCACCTTTAAAGTGGGTTACATGCGAAGTAATATACATCTATTCGCTCATTGCAAACACTTTGAAATTTTTGATAATTTAAATTCAAATCAAAACAAATTCATATACCCTACTATTCATTCGAATATTCACACAAGCCTAGTTTATGAACTGTTTTCATGCGAAATACAGTGAATAACCAGCAGTTCACACCTTGTTCTTCATTGTAATGCGAGCGAATCATTATGTTTGGGCTTGCAACTATTTCCGCAGCCTGAAATGCTTTAATTTAGGCCTTAAATACGCATACAGTTAAACCACTTTGTAAGAGGCATGCTCTGAGCAGCAATTGTTGTCTTTTATATGAGATGTCTGTTATAAGTAGGGTACCTCGTTTGCATTTGCTTATCAGCCCGTATTTTACTGTAGGCACACTGGTGTCTCTTACACTCATTTGTCTCTTATAAAGGAATTAGACTGAATTTCGCATTTCGAATTATCGATATATCGAACTATTTTGTGATCCCCTTCGAGTTCGAAATATGTGGAATTGACTGTATTCACAAGGCCCATTTTGTGTCGTGAGGCTACTGGTTTGTTTTTTAATACTCAAATAAGCACTCAAATATTTTTAAATGTCCCGTACATGTTGTCTTACTAACAACTTTTATAAAAAGCCAATTATAAAAATTTGTATAGGAATGAATGACGGCAAGTGATCAAAAAACGAAAGCTAGGAAAAAGCAGCTCAAAGAAGATGAAGCTAAAAACTAAGCAACCAAAACTTAGAAGGAAGCTGGTTTATTTTTCATTTGGGAAATGCAGCCTGGTGGCTCTTCAGCTCCCATCTGTTTTTTTACAGCAATGCCAACTTGGCGATACTGGGCCAAGGGAAAGCTGCAGATTTACATTTTCTACAGCAAATGTTTCTAACAACAGCATGCTTGTAAACTGTTTTCTTTTTCTTAAATTCTACTGCTTGTTTTGATCTAACATTTAACCATGATATAACACATGGTCTGAGGATTGCAGAAAAAGTTAATTGAAAAATTGAACATGTTGACCAAATTTAGCATTAACACGTCCCTTTTTGAATGGGTGCCTGTCTTCCTGTGCTATCCAGTAAGCCAACATTAAGCAATCTGTTGCCAAAGAAATAACTGCAATGCCTGCATTGGGCCACTTTTAACAGCAAGGAAATCATGCAACCTGGTCTAGTTGTACTCACTCACTTTTCAATTCATACACTATACAGTTAAACTTCAATATAACACACTCAGATATAAAACGTCAGTTATAACGAAGTAAACAAAGAATAGTCTTGCAATATAGTGTTAGGAATATACTTTATAAAGAAACTGCAACCACAAGCTCTGTTCGATTTGCCTTGCGCTGCGTGAACCAGTTCCTGGCAGTTCAGATGGCAGTGCAGCAAGAGCTATACTCATGCAGCACCAAGTCAGCAAGTGCACGCTGTTATGCCTGCAAGTCCACGCCGAACGTCCATGCCTCTGAAAAAGGCAATCTGTGTCAAGGCCAGCACGCGAGCCCGCCTGACGCGAACAACTTAACGACGTCATCATGCGGCGGCGCCTTTCTGTCGCGCGACGCACAGCGAGCCACCACCGTTGCAGCACCGTTGCAGAAATAGGCGCCTTCCTGTCTGGCGAGTCTTACGCAACGCGGGGCGACGTCACTCGTCCTTGGGTGCAGCCACGTGCAGCGGCTCCGGATTCTATGAGAATGATGCGGCCCAGCGGCGACCCCATTAGAGGATTCTGACCTCACAGCCAGCGACGCTTCTGGTTGGACATTTGATTACTCAAAGAATCCACTCGGTGCATATAAAAAAAAGCCCTGCGGCGTGTCGCGAGCAGTAGACCTATGTGTCAGAGAAGAGAGCTCGGCTCTTCGAGTCTCTAAACTGTCGGCCCCAGTGCCGAATTTGTAACAACTCTGTATCTATGCTGTACATAAACCTTGTTTAACCCACCGTCGTCTCGTTCGCTCGTCTATCAGCTCTGCGCAGAAGCAGTCGCGGGCTGAGACACCTACGCTACCAAGCGGCTGGTGACCTTCCCGGCAGAGTTCGAAGCAGTGGCGCCTTCGGGACCGTGTTAGCATCGCCGTCTTTCGTAACAGTGGTGGCAGCGGCGAAGTTCGTGGTGCCCTTCGTAACGCGGTCGGAGGCGCGCTTCGTAACAACGCGTAGCGCGACACTAGCTCCACATTGAAACGAACGTCAAAGTGCAGGTAGTGCAGCCAGTGTACCGCTGGTAGCGGGCCAACCATGTTTCTCACTTGTTCATTGTGCGTTTGCGTGTGTTTGAAAGCATTGGTGTGCAAGCTCGCCAATTTTGTTGAAAAAAACCCCATGGATTCTGTAGCAACAAGTGCAGTCATTGTGCAAAATTTTATAAAACTGATAAGAGCTTGACGAGAGACATCGTTGCCGTTGCTGTGCTCGTATTGACTAGGTTGCGGGGGGGGGGGGGGGGGGGGTTAAACGTGCCTGCTGGTTCCAAGCAGAGCGTGAGCATTAACTGTACTGACCTTGCGTGTCACTCTGAAGTAGTAGCCCAGATCCCTGCTTGTCTCCAGCTTTATGGTCTTGGCAGCTTCCAGGCCGAGGTCTTTCGCAGCCTGTGAGAGAAGTGAAAAGAGGGTGACAACCTGTGAACTTCTCTAGCACACAAATCTCAAACGAGCATCAACATAACGATAAACAACTCTGTCAGGTGATTCTTCGACAATCACAGCCGATCTGCAATAACAATTAAAACTTGTTGTAGCACTAGCTGGTAATTCATTATATTGTAGGTAAATTTAGGGGCATGCACAAAAAATTAAGAAAAACGAGGAAAAGTATGCACATCCTGTGGCCCATGCTGCCGCATGTGGATGTGAACCACAGTTTACAGATATGCAGGTTCTCGTAAAAAGCGTGAAATCATCTGCATGTCTGTCATTAGAAGCATACTTTATAGATAGAAAAAAATAAGGATAGTTGTGTTAGCAAGCTGTCCATACCCTTTCATCAAAAGAAAATATCTTTTCATGAGATAACATCCCATTACAGAGGACAGCAACAGACTTTTCCCTTTCCTCATTATACGTTCCTCAGATTGCAAGCAAGCACGCTCCGCATGCTCCAGAGGGGGTCTTGCCCCTCTAGAGGCCTTCCGAGCATGCTTCATCTAGAGGTTGATCCACTTTGCCCAGATTGTGGCGAATACTGTTCTCTAAGTCACACGCTCTGGCAGTGCCCTGCGTTACAGGACTTCAAAAGAGAAGAAGCCTGGACGACGGCAATTACAGATCCCAGGTAAGACGTCCAGCTTCAGTCTATACAGAGGGCCTGTGAACGAGCGGACAGGCATGGCCTCTCTGCTCCAACATGGGACTAGCCAAGTGCTGGGTGGAGACCTACCTAATTGGCCCGCTGCCTCACCTCTCAGCACCAAAACAAGGTTGTCTGTCTGTCTGTCGAGATATGGTGTTAAGGGTTCTAGCTGGTTTACCTGTTTTCATGTTTTTATTAGTTTTTTAACATTGTTGGTTGGTGGCTGGTTCTGGTATCACTTGTTGATTCTTGGCACATGTGCACATTTGTTGATTATTGCCTTTGCACTCCGTAATACCTACATTGACTGCATCATTCCTTTTGCATTTCATGTGTAGAGATACATGCCGGCGCGTTCAAACATGTATAGCATTCCGGATGTAATAATAGTCAACAAGCGGTGACGCATTTTATTTTTCTTCTTCGTTTGCAGCTCTCATGGTATCAACGAGCAGCGGGCGACGGACAACACATAGCGCCCTCGACCGGTTCGACATGCACACTTTTTCCATAGTGCTTCGCACGCCTTGCGGGGAGGAAGGTTCTAAGATTGCTTGAAAATGGTCTATTAATGCTGTTTTGAACTTGAAATTGCAGCAGGAAGTCTGTAAAATCGGACGCCTAAGATTTTTAGCCTCCTAAATTGCAGGCATTTCTATACATCGACATGTATGAGGCAGATTCAGAACTCGGGACTTTAAGGGAGCACACCCCTGTCTATCACATCAGTTGGGCTTTTACAGAAGTTGAAAGAGGGGGAGAGGTTGAAGAAATAGCACCATTACCTTTCACAAGGAGAGAGTTGCTGACATCATCAAATCATGTGCCTAAATACAATTCAGTCTCTGCATTGCCTCATTCTTGATATGACAACTATGAAACACATCCTTGCCGGTGTTTCATCCACTTAGCGAAAAGAAACACTTTCATGTTGCTATGACATAAAAGTATGCCGAAGAATCCTCTCCAACTTGTTCTCCGGTGATTTCACTTTGAAGTATAAAAAAAATATTTGAGAAACGTTTTAAAAATATTCGATTCGGTTTACACCCTTACTTTACTAATCGCATTAGCTTTGCGCCCAAACTTTTGCTTTTTGAACAGCACTATTTTATTTTAATCTCTCGATTATTTGGTCACGGACAAGAACGTGACTTTTAGCTCACAACAAACAATGCCCACACCCGAATTTCTGCCAAATATGTTTTTTTAACAATATTGTATTAAAATGAAAGCCTTGCTTGTGTATATAATGACATTCCAACTGTCCTCTGACACACACGAGCCCCTTTACATGACGTCCACCCATAAAAGCTTTCCTGCTGGATGCAAGGTGACTTTCACAAAATAGTTGTTCATAACCGCTAACCCATGCACTTTTGCATTTCCGCATTCTGCACCAACCTTTCTGAGGTAGCCTTCGCATTCACTTTTCACTTTCTCCAACTCTTCGTGAAGCGCTGCAAAATGGCACATGTAGAATCAAACACCACTGCACTCTACACTGCTTCAAAATAGTAACATAGTAATCATTTTCACAATCCAATATAATGGTCAGTCGGTGTGAAAATTGGGGACAGGTGCAGGAACTCACAAAGAGCAGGTTCTCTTCAGGCTTCGAAATGAATATTTGTGACGGAAAGCTTGCTAACTTGACAGTATTCGAAATTAATGTAATGCCAAGCATTTTGTAGCACAACAGGAACAATTGTATTCAACAACTACGGCTGCACAACACGTCACCACATAAAAAGCAGGAGTGGAAGTAGACTTCAGTGTTTTAGAGCATGCTCAGGGAGCAGGAATAATGCTATTTCGGAGCAGCTTTGTTGGTGCCACCATTTTGCGGGGAAACCATGGCAATAACGGCAATGACAGCACCCTGAACGAACCGAGTTACGTGATCTAACTCCACTGAATATGAATGCGGCTACGCGCTCAGTGCTTCTCAATTGACATTAATTACCCGCTACATTAAGCAATTTAGACTTCAGATTGACAATTATTTTTCTACTGTCGGCTATGCTCCAACGGTGGGAAAGCTATACTGCTAACCAATGGTCTGCGGTCAGCTGGCTTGCAGACTTGTGGAAGGCGCCTAAGCAACAAACCCTCGAGAGCTGTTTTCGCCACACTTGCATCATACTGGATGTGCTCGCTGCCGGTGTTTCAATTCCAGCCGAGATAACCTTTGAGGGATTCGCCGACTCTATCAAAGACCTTGAGCTGTGTGTGGAATTGACAGATGACAAAATCATTAGTCAAGTTGCGAAGGATCGCAACAACTTCGGCACTGAGATCGAAGAGGCAGCACCTAGAAAGCCAATGAGCTCGGAGTTGACGCGTGCACTGACACTGTCCTCGGTTTACAGCAACAGCATGAAGTTAGCTGAAATTAAGGCAGACATCATGACGGACAAAAGTAACACTGTGCAAACGAAAATATGCAACTTTTTTTTGCGCCTAAATGTTTACAAATGCATTAGTGCCGGCTACATCACATTTTTTTCTTTTCTTTATTTCTTTTTTATTTAAATATAAAATACTTTTTGCAGAGCCACCTAAATGATGCATTTGCTGAATTGCAATGAGAATCCTGTACTACAATTTGACCCCCTCCATCAGCAAAAAATGCCTATTACCTTGTTTTCACGCCGCCCCTGCTGACGCGTTTTTCGAAACTGCTCGCCCGCGTGCGGAGGTGCAAGTAAGGTGTTCTCACTTGCATATGTTTTTCCGGATCGCCAAATTTTTCAGGTGTTTTCGCGGCCTCCTGAAGGTCCAGAAAACTGGACGTTGAATGTATGTTATGAGGCAAGGCAACAAGCTCAGACTAACCTTTGAGCTCGTCGTCAAACTCCGGCTTCACCAGGTAGTCCCCTTGCTCTATAGCTTCAAAGTCCAGAGTGGTCTCCACCATCTCTAGAAACTTACTGAAATCTGCCTCCAGGACCTGAACAACGAAAAGAGCACTACGGTCAGGTCTAACAGTCTTTTTCTTCAATACAATGCATGCAGTACCAACCAGAAAACCATAAAGTTGACTTAATTCTAGCAGTTACAGTAATGTAAGGCGTAAAAGAAGGAGCAGCATGCAAAAGCATCTAATTAAAATGTGATTATACTCTGGGGTTTAATGTGCTCCAAAATTTTGTCTGCATAATCAGATTCAAGTATAAATACGACTCAATGCTACATATCAAAGCCGAGGTAGCCAATTGTCCCATGCATTGTGACTGTCTTGATGCAACATTATTATTTTTTTTTTGCTTATGTTTTGAGCACTGTGACAAGTGTTGGCAGGTACTCACTAGCATTTACTTTGGCTTTCTAAAATATCTAAGCACAAGTGTTCTGATCAGACAGAACGAACAAAGGTGAAATACTTATAGTAAGCAAAAGTACAGATTTACAGGATTCACTGCATAATGCAGTTTCAATTAAGCAGGATAAGATAGAATGCCAACCAAATACTATCAATTTGTTGAATTGACCAAGAGTACAAACTATCAGTTAAAACTGTCCTCAGTCTACTGTATTTCTGCCAAATATAAAGAATGCATGAAAACAATCTGAAACGACTAGTTTTCCGCACAATAGTAAATTTGATCGTATCACACAATCGAAGCGAAAACACAGCAACAGTAAGCTCAAAATTTTCTTTCGAATTAACAAGGTTAGCAAAACAGTTTGAAGCATTGTTCAAGGCATCACTCTGTCGCTAGTCTAGAAAAAAAAGGCTCTTGCCTTGATTGGCGTAGCAAAAATGGCACCAAGAAGCGGTGACTTGTGCGACTCTGATGCCTTGGTCAAAGCCTCCCGCAATTTAGGCAGAACTTGCAGGCATTGATACATCTTGTAAAGTTCCTGAAAAGAATAAAAGAGAAAAATTGGGCACAAGGGTAATAAAAGAATACCAACCAGGTTAGATAGATTCTAAGATAATGTAAGCAAGAACTACAAACAAAAGTGTTAGCAAAACATTATTAGAATTATTAGACGCGGAGGTCAAGGCATGTATAGGGGATGTTGTTTATAGTAATTATGCAGATGTGAAGAAAGTAAAGCTGATGAAAACACGACAACTTTCAGCTCACACGGACTGAATCTGCAACCTTCAGATAACGCGTACAATGCTCTACTAACCGAGTGACAATGACGGTCATCTGCCTGACCACTTGATGAGGTATATATATGTGCATTAAAAGAGCCTTGAAACACTATTTCATATAACCATGTAATGGGTTCATTAACAGAGCTTATTGGCTCATGAATTCATTGCTGCAAAAAAATGTTAAGAACCCGTTTAGTACGAGCAGAGTTTGAAAAATTTGTTGCACGCTGCGATAGCACTCTCTCTTCTTTCGTCCCAACGAAAGCTCTGGAAGCTAAGCAGGGAGGGATGGCATAGGCAACGATAATATGTCACGTGCGCCTCGTGACTTTGAGCACTCTTTTCTCTCTTTTTTTTTCCGAATATGCGGCTTTTTTTAGTGTGATAGCACACACAGGCGTGAACAAGTCGCGGCCTCCCGCGGCGATCCCTGTAATGACCAAGCGTGTCATCTTCAAACCAGCCAATAACTGATACAAGGCCTTTTACGAGTGATTTTCGAGCATCTTTTATCATTTGTCGAGAGAACAGAAAGCAATTTTTAGCTGACTCTGATAATTTATTGTGAATTCTAGGCTGCATGCTGCGTTATAATATTTGGCTCATGTGATCTCGGGAACCACTACTACCGATTGACACTGATGTCTGACCATGCTCACAAAGTGTTGCAGGGCCCTTTTAAATGTGGAAGAGTTGCCGCTAGTAGTTGCGACATTGAGTAAACAAGCAAAAATTGTCTGGTTAGCAATCACCAAACAATATCGCTTAGTAGAAGTCATTTTTCATCTTTCCAGTTATGAGTTATAGAATCCCTGACATCAAAAGTTTTGTGACTTTTTTATTGTAAATTGAACCTTTGTGTCTTGTAATCACCAATCGTAAATACTCTAAAACAATGGCTCTCAAATCGAGGTCCCCAAAGCCATTTTTGAAGGCCTGCAAACCTATCCACGAGGCGGGGGAGAGGGGCACATTTTATTTAGAGGAACACCATGGCCTGTGGCATCAGACCCTTTTGATTGTTTGTATGCTTCCCCACATAACACTTTTATCACGGTGAAGCTAACTTATGTTTTCCCTTTTCCATGAGACAGCTCGAAAGCTTTTGTTGCAGTTTTGTATGGTACATGCAGAGCATGCTTTTTTTCCGGATTGCATATTTGAAGGACTAATATAGCTAGAAACAAGCTGAGCGCGGCTGCAGGCCACAAAACTTTAATGGCAAGCAAATGAGATTGAACTGGCATGGCAATTTAGTTGGACTATTCTTTGGCAGGGGTTAAAAAAAATTCACGCCATCTTCCCAAAGGAAACCCTGATAGAATGCAAAGTAGCAGCGTTGCACACAGGTGGTGTGCGGTGCTGTGTTGAGCGCTCGAAGATTCGCAAGCAGCGGTTGCGCAGGCAGAACGAGCGCTCGCTACTGCGACAGGTGTTGCGGACGAACCGACAGGGCGACAGCTGCGGGCACTGTGGCGAGGGTGCAGCAGGTGAGGGAGAGAGTGATGTCAGCGCACACTGCAAGGGGAGCATGACGTTAACGCGCAGCTGCGGAGTGACCTACTTGGCACCGCTCCAACACCAGCGGCAAGGGGAGCGCGTTGTGGCGCATTCGTACGAATGCACGTAGGGACAGCGTTACACAGTCTGGTCAGAGCTGCTTTGCATATAAAACAACCTATTTCACACTGTACAAATATCAGCCACCATGCAGACACTGAGGAATCAGGGCGTCGATGAAATATATATTGTCACGATGAGTCACAAGTACTGGGGGGATTTATTGAACGACCGGGTAGCTAGCTCTAGGACGATGCGTCAGTCGTGGCTGGCTCTCGAGCAGAGAAGAACGCGATCTTCTTTTTTCCTCCAGATTTTGAGCCGCTCTTGCTGCCAACCCACTACGTGCTGGCGGCATTATCCCCCCTTCCGAAAAGAAAAAAAAAAACAAGTACCAAAAAGAGGAAAGGAAAGTACATAGCAGCACCGCGATGCTACTACATAGGCACGTGAAAAAAAAATGGAAATTCGGATGAAGTGAAAGTAAAAATTGAAGAGCGTGCCAACATAGGAAACGTCAATGAACGAGAAAGTAAGTTCGCAAAATAAACAAAAAACACAAAGAACGCTGTACGGTAAAGGAAAAGTTACGAACAACGCGCAATAAATGGCTTCACGCGCAACACATGAACGACGTCCGGCCTCAGCCGTGTCCTGCTCCGTGCATGGGGTGTTGAGTCCGGAACCACTTCGTAGTTCACGTCACTGACGCGGCGTAACACTTTATATGGGCCAAAGTACCGGCTCAGCAACTTTTCACTAAGGCCACGGCGGCGGACGGGCGTCCACACCCAAACTTGATCTCCGGGGCTGTAAAACACTTCTCTGTGACGGGTATTATAGCGTCGTGCGTCTGCCTGCTGTTGCTGGCCGATGTGCAGTCGCGCGAGCTGCCGGGCTTCCTCGGCACGCTCTGCGAATTCTTCGGCGTCTGTTGCCAACTCGTCTTCGTCCTGACACGGTAGCATTGAGTCTAGCATGGTCTGCACTTCGCGGCCGTAGAGAAGCCGAAATGGCGTGAATCGCGTGGTCTCTTGCACGGCGGTATTATACGCGAAGGTCACGTAAGGCAAGATCTGGTCCCATGTTTTGTGCTGTACGTCGATGTACATTGAGATCATGTCTGCGAGGGTCTTATTGAGTCGTTCAGTAAGTCCGTTGGTTTGCGGGTGGTACGCAGTTGTCCTTCGGTGTCTGGTGTTGCTCAGTTTGAAAACTTCGTCCGTAAGCTGCGCCGTGAATGCCGTCCCTCTGTCCGTTATTACACTGGAAGGAGCACCGTGTCGTAACACGATGTGGCGCATGAAAAATTGTGCTACCTCAGAAGCCGTGGCTCGTGGGATCGCCTGGGTTTCAGCGTAGCGTGTCAAATAGTCGGTCGCGACGATCACCCATTTGTTGCTGTCCGCAGACATAGGAAAAGGCCCGAGAATGTCCATGCCGACTTGGTCGAACGGCGTGCAGGGTGCTTCAATGGGCTGAAGCAAACCAGCTGGCTTAACAGATGGTTGCTTTCGGCACTGACATTCCCGACAGCTCTTCACGTACTTCTTGACGCTTGCCGAAAGTCCTGGCCAATAGTACCTCTCACTCACTCTGGCAAGTGTTCGTGAGTAGCCCAGATGACCGGATGTGGGTTCGTCATGGCAAGCGAAGAGGACGTCGTCTCGCATGTCTCGAGGAACCACCAGGAGGTAGGCACGGTTGTTCGAACGAGCGTTCTTCTTGTACAGCACACCATTTCGAAGGCAGAACGACGGCAACGAGCAAAATAAATGACGTGGTATGATTGTGTCCTGGCCCTCTAAATGATCGATGATCGGACGAATCTCTGCGTCATCCCGCTGCCATTTACTCAAGTCTGATGAGCTAATGGCGCCCAGGAAGCCTTCGTCTTCCTCTGCTTCCTGATTGACGACATGAAGGGGCGCGCGTGACAGTGTGTCAGCGTCTTCATGCTTACGGCCGGACTTATGGACGATGGTGACGTCAAATTCCTGCAGCCGCAAGCTCCACCGTGCTAGCCGTCCTGAAGGGTCGCGCAGGCTTGCCAACCAGCAGAGGGCGTGGTGGTCCGTCACTATCTTGAAGGGACGACCATAAAGGTACGGGCGGAACTTGGTGATTGCCCACACGACTGCGAGGCACTCTTTCTCCGTAGTGGAATAATTCGCCTCAGCACGCGATAGAGAGCGGCTGGCGTAGGCTATCACTCTTTCCATGTCTTCTTGACGCTGGACGAGCACTGCACCGAGCCCAATGTTACTAGCGTCGGTATGGACCTCCGTGTCAGCATCATCGTCGAAATGAGCGAGAACGGGCGCTGATTGCATGCGCTGTCGCAGCTCATCAAAAGCTGCTTGTTGCTCGTTTTCCCAGACAAACGGTGTGTCGTCCCTTGTGAGACGAGTCAGAGGTTCTGCTATCTGTGAAAAGCCATGAATGAATCGGCGATAGTAGGCGCACAAACCAAGGAAGCGCCGGACGGCTTTCTTATCGACAGGAGCTGGTAATTCGGCAACAGCGGCAAGCTTGTCCGGATCGGGACGGATTCCTTCGGCGCTAACTACATGTCCAAGAAACTTTAGTTCTTTATAGCCGAAGTGACACTTCTGTGGCTTTAGTGTGAGGTCCGCCGATCGGATAGCCTCCAGCACGCTGCGCAGGCGCTGAAGGTGCTGCTCGAACGTGGCAGAGAAGACCACCACATCGTCAAGGTAGACAAGACAAGTCTGCCACTTCAGCCCTGTGAGGACAGTGTCCATCATTCGCTGGAAAGTCGCCGGCGCTGAACACAAGCCGAAAGGGAGTACTCGAAATTGGTATAGGCCGTCTGGAGTCACGAAGGCTGTCTTTTCGCGGTCTCGCTGATCTACCTCGATTTGCCAGTACCCGCTTTTGAGATCGAGAGAAGTGAAATAATGGGCACGACGAAGTCTATCTAGCGAATCGTCGATACGCGGTAGCGGGTACACATCCTTTTTGGTCACGTTGTTAAGCTTTCGGTAATCGACGCAGAAGCGTAGCGACCCGTCCTTCTTTTTGACAAGCACGACTGGAGATGACCACGGGCTGTTGGATGGTTCGATAACGCCATCGTCAAGCATCTCGCGAACTTGCGTACGTATCGCTTCACGTTCTTTAGCCGACACGCGGTAGGGGTGCTGGTGTATTGGGCGTGCGTCCTCGTACG